ATATTATATATTAATTGTTTTTATATAACATTTATATAATATCAAAAAAAATATTACATAAAATTAATCATTTATTATCATAAGCTATTTCTTGTTTTTTTTTATATTTATTTATATTATCTATATTACTATTATGACTATTTCTTTACTATCTTGATTTTCTTCTTCATAATATCAAATTTTTACAATAAAAAAATATACAAATTAAAATACTTAATAATATATCAAAAAATTTCCATTTTAAGTTTTTTTTTTATTTTTTATTATTATTATTTATTTAATTGATTTTTATTTTATTATTTAGTATATTTAAAAAATTTCATAAATAAAGATAAAGTATAAAGTTATATATTCTCTATTTTAATTGATTAAATTATGACATGTCATAAGTCATCAACACTGAAATAAGTTGCTACCCTAAAATTAGCGTAATTATTTCATATAATCTAAATATCGAAAAATATTTCTTTTCGCAAAAATAACTATAACCGATCCTTTTCGCATAATAAAGTAAATATAAAAATGAGTTAATGTTAAAGTATTTTTATCAGATCAAATTCCGTAAAATATCAACAACGAGATAATAATTCTTTGGACGACTAAAACTCGATCTTCTAAAAAAATTTTTTATAAAAATGGGAAAGAGAGAAATGGCGTGTTTTATCAATGAATCTTAATATGGAAGCTACTAGAATGAGATAAGACAAAATTTATTTGTCATTTTAAAATTCGTAGTAAGTATATATATCTAAATTGCACATAAAAAAAATCTTTTTTTCTAATGTTCTTTTTTAATTCACAGCGTAAAGTTCATTGTCGCATTTGATAAATGCGAGAGCCCCAAACTTTATTTTTTTTCACGATCTTTAGAGAAACCCTATTAAACTAATATTTTAACAAATTAATTGCTATTTTGCAAAGACATGTTGGTTTCCAAATTTATTTTAACTTTATATTAATAACTTTCACAAAAATGATTCATTATGGTCTTAGTAGAAAGATTATAAAGATTATGATAACTTTTATCGTATTTACTTATAATTAGAAACTTAATGGCAATACTCTAATTATACCTAATTATTCAAGCTAGGGAAGGTCAAGAAAGATGATTTTTTTTTTTTGCTTATCCATTATAAAAAATGGGTAGAAAAAGAAAGAAATCAAAAAAATTTAAAATATCTCTTCATTTTAATTAATTAAAGAGCGCGTATATTAAAACTTTTAGTAGCAAATTAAATTTTAAGGTTTAACCTATTATATATTCATACAAAAGTATAATGTTTATTAGTCGACCCTGAGAATTATCAAATGATATCGAATAACTTTTTTACAACGAAGAAAATTCTGATCGTAATTATTCATTAAAGAGTACGCTGCACATTCAAGGAGAGCAATACCGTAGTATCGACGCGTAATTAATATTCTTGATATTATCTTATACTCCTGCACTATTTATTGTCGTTGCAACGTTAACAACTTCCCATGATCTCTTTTGAAATTTGATGGCTATGAATTTGAGACGTACGTCTTACTGAAAGAGAATATAATTCTGATATTCCATTTTATATAAAACGTTTCTTTACCCACAAATTTTAATTTGACGGATAAATTAATCACCTTCATTTACATACAGGCAAGCTTTTCGAATTATATCTTCGAAAACTCAAATATGAAACTCCATAATAACCCAGTAAAGTAGCAAATGCTGCAAAGTGAATACAGGAAAATTTTTTATAAACTTTCAATTTAAAACACCCACTTCACATAATTATTTCACCTTAATATAATTACAAATTTCATGAAATTCACAATTGACACGTAAATTTTAAAAAATCATTAACAAGAGAAAAGTAGCGTAGTACAAAGAATTATATTTAAAATTCAATCAATAGCTAATCTGAGTTGCGTCGGTCTACTTGGGCTTTGTCAATAATATATTGGTTTGAAAATATATAACGTAAATTAAAAAAAAGAAAGCTTTACAAAAAAATAGACCAAATGTACTAACCTATGAAAGAGCGATGTCCGGAATATAAGAAAATTGCGAAACTTGAAAGCTTACAGGGGTTTTATAATATCCAGAATCTTATATTTTCTAGATACATTCCGGACACACTCGCTGAAACTTTTTTTGATTATCGACTTTTAAATTCATTAAATTGTGAAAGAATATTTTAGTAAATTCTTTCTTTCCTACCCCCTTTTTTAACAATGCAAACTGATGGATACGCGAAAAATCCTTTATTGTCCTTAGCCTGATAAATTACATCATAGTTCGTTGAGTTTATTTTAAAACAATTTGTAAAATGGATTACTTCTATTAAAGGCAGAAATAGAGCTAAAGTATATTTATTTACTTATTTACTTAAGTTAAACATTACATAAGTTAAATATAAAATATAACATTTCCAAAATTGTATAATTCCGAAGTTATTTAAACTAACAAAATTCATAAAGCATAAAATGTTATAATGAATATAATTTTATTTTTTTATTACCTGAAATACTTCATAATCTAAAATATCTGCAGAATAATCAGAATATTCTAAAATAATATTTACTCCAGGATATGTACCATCACCATATCTACTCATTTTATTATTTTCAATACCTATATTCCATCCTATACCAAAGGCTGGTCCAACATTCGACCTGTAATATACAGCATATTTAGATTTATCCTCTAATACTCTTGTAATGTATCCTGAATTAATATCTTCTTTATTTGTAAAAGAAAATAAAAAACTGTCTAATGTCGCACAATATCCAGTAGAATTTGTATAGCTTAATGGATTATAACCACCAATTAACTTATCATTTCCTTCCAATTTTGAAATCATAATAGTTGAACCTTTGTTATCACATAACTCATGAAATTTCTCTGGGTCTACTGGCACGATAAAGAAGCTTCAATGAATAAGGGATACTTATAGAATTATAAAAAATTGTTTGTCTTTTCTATCAATCCAACTTGCAATTATCGCTAAATGCTCTTTTCCAATAAGGACAGAGTCAATAGAGTCAATAGATAATCTACCTCTTTGAGGTAAAACTAAAGTATCTGATGGAGTATCTGGATCAACAAAATACCAATGATATTTTTATAAAGTATTCTTGGAAATAATGGTTCATATTGATCGATTTTCCTCCAAAATACTTTTGAAGGAATCTGAAACCATCTAATGTGTGGAATTAAATCATGAATAATATTTTCCAATACTTCAAAATCATTTGATGTCCAATGAGATACATCAACAATTTCCGATGTAATAAACATTTTTGAAATGCCCCATTTGAGAACATAGTTCCAAATTTCAGTTTCTTCCATTTCAAGTTCATCTTGTTTTAAAAAAAAAATAATGAGTTCTTTTTCTAGCGACCCAAATTTTGGAGATTCGAAAAGTAATTTAGGACTTTCACAAATAAGTTCTATACAACAATTTCTTAACTTATTTAAACCTTCATAATTAAATAAAATTTGGAGAATTTCAACGGTTTCATTTCTTAAATTTTCAGTTTGATTCCTGATCAAATAGAGTTGAATATAGTCGCTTAAATTTTGAAGATTCAATTCGTCAGTTGCAATCAAATATTCCAACATCTAAATTAACAGTTCCAGTATACAGGAACTTCAAAATGAATTCAAAGATTTCCGGAGAAATATTTGGCTTTCTAAAAATAATAACTCCATTTTCCTTTTTTGCCCATAGTGTTGACAATGCGGCTTTAAAATATGTTGACCTTGCACCTAAAATTAATGAGTGCGCAAAGAATTCTTTCATATTTTGACTTTCTCCAGCTTGAATAATCACATCATGATTATCTCCACTAGAAAGGAGTTTTCCGATATCACAAGCCTCCATGAAATTTAAATTGAATTTGACGATCGTAATGAACATTATTTCTTTATGTGAAAAGTTGTGTCATGTGAAGTGCATTTCGTCAGCAAATAGAGATTTCATTTACCTATATAAAGAAAGCACAAATAATTGGATGTTTGACGCAGTTTCTCTAATACTGGAGAAATATGATACTTTATATAAACCTGGATATATTGATAGGTCATCTTTCAGTAGAATGCTAATTAGTCATCTGATATTAATTCTCGTATAAGCATTATTCCTCCTTTGATCAGATTTAAACAATTCCATCACACAGAACGTATGAAATCTAATCGTTAAATTTGGTCGTATTTTTGTAATGTAAACCATTCTTTTTGTTGGAGTTACTAGATTCGTAATCTGGAAAGTGTTTATTAGATATTTCACGATTCTCATTCAAGTGCAAATATATCAGAAACTATTAAATTTGTTAGTTAAATACAATCTTACCACAAAAGTTTTAGCTTAATTTTATAAATAAACTACGGGACACGTATCGTATTATCGATTAACATCTTATTAATATCTCTGAAGATGTTGTAAATTACAAATACATCCCTACCCTTCAACTCATCTTTCGAGTATGAAGTGGTATACGCATCCTCTTCAAGTTTTAAGTTTATGCAATTTTCTTTTCCAGACCTCGGTTTTATAGATTTTTTTTTTGAACACGGTAACGAAAAAACATATATGCATATATGCATGAATAAAAATTTTTTTTTTCTAAATTGATAGGATTAAATAATTATCTATGTAATGCTCATAGAAAGCAATAAAGCAAGCTCCCTTAAACTAAAAATATATAATTTTCGCAATCCTTAAAAATCAACCATATTTAAGAACGAATCAATCAAAGAGATCACAGAACAATTCCTGACCCAACAAGAACACACGGCACATTCACCTTTTAGATTTTCCATCAACTGTAAAATGTAATAATGTAAAATAAATAAATAAGAAATAAAATACATTATATTAAATTTATTGCGTTGAAAAATACATACTTTTAAAATGATTGTATAAAAGAATTTTGTTATTTCAGATTCGTCCAATACATCATCACAGTTTATCAACAACCATTTATGGAAACATATATATATGTATACGAAAATATTCAAAATGTCCTATCTTTCGACATCCCAGATACAAACTAAGATCGAGGAACTTGATATACAACACATCCAAAAGTTTACCAAGGTTGTATAATTTTAGGTGAAGATAACGCATTTCCTGTTGATTTCAATACAAGCAAAACCATTGGGCATCTTAAGGAAGCGGGCAGAATTGGATATTCCCGCACGTAAACCGAATTTATGGAAAGTTAACATTCCTGAAAGCGAGAAACGTGAGATAAATGTAGGAATCATCATCAACGAAAAGTTTGGAGGTCAGAAATTGGACAGCGACCTAAAACCATTGGACAATACTTTACAGAACAACCCCTTAGTGAGCACATTCACATTAATGTGCAGCTGCCCGTCACCATTGGTAAGTTTTCCCAATTGTTTACCTTTCGAACAAGAAAGAATTTTACAGCATAACAATATCGAGTTTGGTCTGATATCTTTTTTTTTCGTGTTAAAAGCAGGTGTTTCGCGAGGGATTACGCAAGGTACTGTATTTTCCGTTAAATAATTTATCTATTGATCAGAAAAAAATCTCTAACAAAGTTTTAAATTCTCATCAATCAAACAAAGCTTTATATCCTCATCGAACTATAGAAGAAGTATTAAGAAAGTGTGGAATCTCACTGGACGGAGTTGAAAGACAAACTGGTCAACAAAATCGAACTGGAAAAATTTAGCGCTACAAATCACATATATGGAGAAACTATTAATGCATCCGAAATTCCTGTTATTAATTGTAATCCTTCGTTCATTTTGCATGCATTACCGGACTTTTCGGTCTCTGACAATAATGGATATGGAGGCTATATCCAAGAAGAATCGCTTTCCGTGCTATTTGACAAGGTTATGAAAAATCGTTTGTTTTTCCTAATGGGCACTTCTAAGAATTATTGCAATCTAAGATGGACTTAATGCGAAGAAAAATGAATGATTTCATTTTTTTTTTTGATTCTAGATCTGTTCTTTATTTGAGCTATTTTGTAAAACTTATGGAATTTACTTATCATTAAATGTTGGACACGATTCTAAAAACTTGGGTTCTATCCTCGATTTGAATCAATACTTTACCAACGACCCTGAAAATAACACCGTTATGGCACCTAAATTCATTCGTGCAATACTTATTGCCCGATTATTCATTTTAACCAATTTATTAGAGTTTCATAAAAATCATGAATCTCATGATCGCAATTTTACACCAAAGCAATGGCTTCTAATGCAACTCTTGCCAATACAAATTAGTGGAGAAAACTTCTGGATTCAATTTTCGTGGATTAAATCTGAAAGATCAGAATAAGCTTATCAAAACTTTGATCCTCAGCAAAAGCATTTGCCAATTGCAATTGATGAATCGCAGACGGCCATCAGGAAGTTCGAGAAACATTTTTCCACAACAATTGCTGATGGTCCATTACGACAATTCTTTGCCATCTTGCTTCGGACATTACTTAATCTCAGTTCATTTAATTTACGTCTTGTATTATCAGGAACATGAATGAGTTTTGACGATATCAATATTAATGCGTCTCCTGCTATTGCTAAATATGGTGGTGCTACATTCAAGAATTTTTTCAGCATTCACAAATGTAGTGAAAAAAGCAAGTTTAACCATTAGATGATGAGCTTATGAAAATGATCTTTAATATTTTCGGGGTCGACGACGATTTGTAGTCCAGTTTTTGGAGCATGCTCTATCAGAAACATCTTCAAATAATGTGAATAAAAGTGTGGAGAATTGGCAATGTAAAGCAAAGGATTTCATAATTTCAACCTTTATGGAATCATGTTTTCCTTATTTACGTGAAAGGAATAAAGCATGGAACAAAGTGCTGGATATAGTGACTTTTAGCATGTTTTCTCGTTGTACAAAGTTAGTGAAGGGAAATGGAGTTGCCGAAATGGTTCAATATGGATTTGCCCAGTTTTGCAGTTTGAACACCTAGCAGATTTAAGCTGGCTTCAAATGGATGCTATTTCAGTACAAATAGCAGAAACGATTCCCATCTTAGCGTTTAGAGAATATATGAAAAAGCATCCTGACGAATTCGAGTCCCAGTTATCGCGAAATCTATGTTCATTTCATAACAATAATGTCCAAAAGGAAATGCCATTCGTTATTAATGAAATGAATGGTGAGACCAAGAAAAGAATTATCGATAAGCGCTGATGGTCACATTTCGAACGTTAATGATACTTTTCCTGTGATTTTATCAACCTCAAACCTAACATTTCGTTAAAACATTCCACAACCATTTCATTTACTGACATACTGTAATTCCAGGAAGATGTTATCTTGGATCCAAAGTTCCTAACAAGTTGATAAACTGAATGCTGGTGACAACAGAATATGGTTGCAAATCTGCTATAATCCAATCCATTAATGCTTGATCTCGAGTTATTGTCACTTCTTCAACTATAGGATGGTTCAATTCGTTATGTATTCTTTTTACTTTGTCAATTTTTATTCCATGCACCTGGTTCAAGTGATATTCAAAGTATTAATTCCAGTTGATTTTGAATATATATGATTGCATTTTTTACAAATAACTTTTGTGGGATGTTGTGGATCATGTTTATTAAATAAAGCCTAGTTTCAGAAAATATTTTGCTTTTTTAGCATTATTCTCTTTTGTTCCAAATTTTTCTTCTTCATTAGGTTCTTGAAATGTTTGTAAATTTCTTTCTTTGTCTGTTGACATACCTCCTTCTCCATTATATTCACCATAGTAATATAATTAGAATTATCCATACATTTTCTTGAGAAATTAAGAAAAAAACGCGTCAAAAACACAAAATAACACAGGCTTGCACGATGTACTACTGTAAGATCGATGCATATTTTAATTGACCTTCTAACGGTCTTATTTATGCAAAACCAAATTTTCAAAACTAGTTCGATTCTTCTGACCTTTTTTCATACACGGTTCATTTTTATGAAATATCAAAGTTGTAATTATCTTAGAATTTATTTTAACTCGATTTAGTGTGTGAAATCAAATATATAATACAAATGTTTTATGATTCTTGATTTGGTAGTACAAAAGGAATAAATATAATACAAAAGAAATGAATTTAAGAAAAAAAAAATCTCATTTATAAGAAAACCTAAATTCGTGTCATTTATATTACGTGATAAAGGTTTGTCGAGAAATTTAGTAACATGTCTTTTCGAAATCAAAAAAAAAGGCCCATCCTTTTTAGTTTCTTCTTCTTTTGATACAATGATAATAGATTGTGATGTGCAACATCATAACTATTTCTTGCCGCCTTATTATACCAAAAACAGGCCGACTCTAAATTCTTTTCGGTACCTTCACCTTGTTCGTATAATAACCCAAGACTATTTTGTGCAAAAACGTTTCCCCTTTCAGCTGCATACATATAAAACTCGAATGCCTTTTCTTTATTAACCTCGGTTCCAATTCCTTTTTCATAACAGCATGCAAATTTATATTGCGCTGTTAAATCACCTTGCTCCACCAAGTTTTTATAAATTTCAAAAGCTTTAACTTCGTTTTTTTCAACACCCCTTCCAAATTCATAACATATGCCCAAGTTATATTGCGCTATATCATACTTATTTTTTGCCGCTTTTTTATACCAATAAAATGCCATTTCTAAACTTTTTTCAATTTCTTCACCTTTTTCGTATAATAATCCAAGACTATTTTGTGCAAATTTATTTCCTTTATCAGCCGCATCTTTAAATAGTTCAAATGCCTTTTTTTTATTGACCTTAATCCCAATTCCTTTATCATAACAATACGCGACTCGATATTGTGCATCTAAATAACTTTGATTAGCCAACTTATTATAAATTTCAAAAGCTTTTATTTCATCTTTTTTAATACCTATTCCGTATTCATAACAATATCCAACTTTATATTGTGCATCCAAATAATCTTGACTAGCCAATTTCTTATAATATTCAAACGCTTTTACCTCATCCTTTTCAACACCTTTTCCATACTCGTAACAATTACTCAAATTATATTGTGCAGCTTTATTACCATTTTCTGCTGCTCTCTGATACCAATAAAAAGCCATTGAAAGATTCATTTCAACCCCTTCACCTTTTTCGTATAATAAACCAAGACTATTTTGTGCGAGTTTGTGATCTTTTTCAGACGCATTTTTAAATAAATCGAATGCCTTTTTTTTATTTACGTTAGTTCCAATTCCGTTATCATAACAACATGCAATTTTGTATTGTGCGTTCAAATACCCTTGCTCGGCTGATTTTTTATAAAATTCAACAGCTCCAACTTCATTCTTTTCGATACCTTTGCCATATTCATAGCATATACCTAAATTATATTGTGCTATTTTATATCCGTTTCCCGCTGACTTTTTATACCAATAAAAGGCCATTACTAAATTCTTTTTGATTCCTTCACCTTGTTCGTATAATAATCCAAGACTATTTTGTGCAAAGGCACTACCTCTCTCAGCTGCATACTTATATAACTCGAATGCCTTCCCTTTATTGACCTCGGTTCCGATTCCATTTTCACAACAGAATGCAAATTTATATTGCGCTGCTAAATCACCTTGCTCCGCCGAATTTTTATAAAATTCGAAAGCTTTAGCATCATTCTTTTCAACGCCTCTTCCAAATTCATGACATACACCTAAACTATATAGTGCCAATCCATTTCCATTTTCCGCCGCTTTATTATACCAATAAATTGATTTCTTCTCATCTTTTTCAACACCAATGCCATACTCATAGCAACATCCTAAATAAAATTGTCCAATAATGCTTTCATTTTTTACAGATTTTTGATACCATTCAAACGCCGAACATTTATTCTGCTCTATTTCATATCCATCATTATAGCACTTTGCAAGGTAAACTTGAGCTAATGAATAATTGAATTGCGATGCTCTGAAAAATAATTGAAATGCACTATTGCTATTTTGTTCTGTATCGATTTTATAATAAAAAAATAATCCTAAAAGCCAAATATATTGTGCCTTAACTTGATTTCTTGATAGCCAAGTTATGAGTTCATTTGTATTTAGATTTAAGTGCGATATTTGTTGATTAATAAATGGTCGACCCTGATCAAACATGATGCCTCGATTGTGCTTTTTGTTTAGAACTTCAATTAATTGGTCGATAGCATTATGAATTTTACCGGATGCCAATTCGGAATTACAAATCACTTCAAGAGTTGATACAACTTCTATTATTTTCGGACGTTCATTCGATTCACCTTTCCAACATTCTATCAGATGAAATTGATTTTATAATTTTACCTTTTTTTTTTTTTAAAAAAATAAAAAAAATGTTTATATATATAAATAAATTAACTTACTTGTATACAGGTCACTATATTCAATAGGAGTTCCAACAATGATTTTTTCTCTCTTTCCTCTTTGTATGGCCACGGCTAAACTTATATCATTCACGTGTTCATTAGAAAATGGTTGATATCCACTTGAAAGTTGCCACATAATGACTCCAATACTATATACATCGGAACTTTTATTTAATCTGTAAATTTCTCCTTGATTATTAATATTATATTGATTAAAGAAAAGTTTTGGATCGATATAAGGCAAACCGAACATTTCTAATGTGATGTTTGATGCTTCAGCTATCTTTTTTGATAAACCAAAGTCAGCCAGCTTAATACTTTTCTGATGTATCAATATATTTTCCACGTTCTTCAATTACAAATTAAGGAAATGAAATTAATCTCGATTTAGGTTTATAATAAATCACAAAAAAAAAAGGAATAAATATATTACCAAATCGCGATGAATAATATCACATTCGTGTAAACGTAATACTGCGCTTGCCAATTGAAGTGCTAAACTATATTTATCCTTCCATTCAAGTTCATTAAAATGTTCATTTAAATATGTTTTTAATGTACCTCCGTCGGCATATTCCATAACTAAGGAGTAAATTTTATGAACATCTGAGGAAAAAGAAGGAAAGAAAGGGGTTTTCAAATGTTAAAAAAAAACCCCCCCCCCCCCCTAAGTTTAAATTAAATTAATTAAATTCAACGTATATATCCTTTTTTGTTCTTTTGAATTCTTACCAGTTTCTACCTTTGTTATTCCGTAAAATTTTAATATATTTGCATGAGAATTGACGTACCAATGAAACTTTAACTATCCAAGTTGAAGGAATTAAAATCCATTTATGTATTAAAAAAAAAAGACGAGAATAATATAATTAACAAATTTCGTACCTCTTTGATGATCTCTTTGAGGGTTGAAATCTGGTTATTAAAAAATTTTAAAACAAACACATTATCGGTATTTTTCCAGTAAGCACGAACGATACTACCAAATGAACCATCCCTTATTAATTGTAACCGTTCGAAATTCGAGTATTCATAATACGTAATATTTTTGTTGGCGATTGATTTTTCTAACCATTTGATTTCATCATTTGAGTTGACGTTTGACATTTTATTTTTTCATAAAGAACTTTTTTTTTTTTTTTTTTTCCTGAAAAAAGAAAAATGGAAATTTTATTCATTTACCAAGAGAAGATTATTGATCGGCGAAACGAGAATCTTTTCTAAAATTAAAGTTTATATATCCTCATAGAAATGCAATTTTATGGACAAAAATTTTACGCCCAGAATGTAGCACGTGATAGCCTTGAGTTTTAATTAATTAACTGGTTTTGTAATAAAATAAACATTTAAACCGCTTGTTTCGCCACACCTCACACATCGTAACGCTAAATAAAATCCGCAAATCTGTAATTTGTCAATCTCATATTTCGATGATTGCATGATCATCTCATAAGACTTGACCATCAATTAACTTGTTCAGGTCGTGAAACTCTCTCAAATTACGTCCTGAAAAGTTTAGCGATGTTCAAATTATAAATTGCGAAAAATCCAAAACGCGAAAAACAAAGTCAATATAGGAAAATCATTTCTGATTTTTTTTTTCTCCGAGTCTTGATTATCTTATCTTTTTGCATTTCATTTGATAGTATCAAAAAAAACGTAACAAAAATTGGCTTTAAAATAAATCATGTCAATGAAATTTCAAATGATCAAATGATCAAATGACCAAATTATATTATAAAGAAGCTTTCGTATTCGAGCTACTTATGCCTTTTAAAATAAGTTTTCCTGTAAATATAATATTGATACCGGACCTTTGGGCGGGTATCTCAGTAAATTCAAAAGGAAAAATAACCCGTTATGGAAAGTGGAGATTATCCTTACATGATGTAATGGTCAAATCAATTTTCTTACTAAATATTAAATATCAAATCGTTTATTGGAGTGCTGAAGTAAAAAGAAGCCAAAGAATCGGAACGTGATTGCCCTCAACCTGAAAAAATGATCGCACCCGAAACGGAGGTTTTCAGGGGTGCCAATTCAGCCTTCTTTGATTTTGTCGATAAATAAAATCCATAGTATTTATTATATTACTGCCGATGCTCGATATTTTTCCGAAATATCAATCGGGCAGAGCTATTTTAATTAAATTCGGACCAATCAAACTTTCGAAAATTCAATTTTTTGATTTCATGACAAAAACAACTTTAAAAGAAGAAACGATCCTTGCGCCACATTTTAATATTACACCTGTATTTATTTATTTTTTTTAGCATGAGAAAGTATAAGATAGAACAAAAGCAGGAAGTAATATATAATATTTGTATTGTATGTAATACGCGATTTTAACAGAGTATAAGATTTATGATCAAAAAAATTTTTTATTTTATTTTTTTTAAAAAAAAAATTAAGTTCAAATTCACAAACTTTTACCTAATCAAAACGCGTAATTCCAATCGATTAACGCAGTACGTGATAACGCACCCTGATTTCCCTAGTATTTTTATAAAGAATAAAAAAGGTGAAAATTTCGTCGTTGCCTAATAAGATGCTCATAAAGTATCGACCGGTTTTTCGGTTTTGCCGCGACGCAAGAATATTTTTAATCTGAGAAACCAAGACATTCATCCCTAGAAATTTTCACTTATTAACCCATATATGTCTTATATTAACTTCGTTTAATCTATTATTGAATCAAAGATACGCCATTTAAAAAATAAATGTGACATTTATAGATAGCAATGATTTTTTTCTTGTGAATTTTTTTTTACTTTGACTTTTAACTGTTTATAATTTTCTACTTTAAATATATTCCTCGGAAGTTCCATATAAAGAATTTTTATTGGACATCATTGATAGGAATTGCAAAAAATCATTCTTTCGCAATATACAGTTTCGCGTATAACCAGTCGTGTAATTGTGTGATTATAAATCACTCGTTTCAGATTTGAATGTTCTTACCGTATGACTTTTACAAGATTGAGCAAGAAATAGGTCCCTTAATGCAAATTCTAACAAAAATTTATAATGTCAAGATTTTTTTTTCCTTTTTTTTTTTGCTTTTTTTTTATTTATTAAATTTTCAAGTAAATTGAAATAATGTTCAAAGTTTAAGCTTGTAAGCATAGTAAATTCAATTGACATCAATTGTGGTTTACGTAAAGTTAATTAAATACAAAAGTCAAGTCATGGTAAAATAATATATGTAAATCTATATAGACTTTTGTACACTCTAAGGTAGGAGTTATTATATTACGTAATTTATACTAAGAGAACAATATTAAATTATTTCAAAAAAGAAAGAAAGTACACAAAAGATGATATGTATGAATTAAAAAAAAAAAAAACCTTATATTGAATCAACAATAAAAGATATGATAATTATTAAAATAAGTTAAAATAAAATGAATGAATGAATGCTTTAAGCAACATATTTCAATTATATGTACAAATTAGGAGGAAAAAATGTCTTTTTGGTTAACATACGATTTCAAAACGTATTTGTAAAAAAAACCCCAATTCGTTTCGTTGCTTTTCTGTTTAAATTTCAGTCATAAAACCATTATCGGAATTAGAACCTTTTCGGAGATTGATTACATACGACTTCCTTGTTGCGCAGGCAGAATTATGCAAATATGGTTGCTGATATTGCTGATTACCATAAATCCAATTGGGGGACATTGTAAATGTTTCGTTACAATATCCAACAGGAATCTTATAAGCAGCATCCATTAATGGTGGTGAAAACATCATTTCATTTGAAGGTACGGTAATGTCTGAAGTCACAACCTCTGGTAATCTGGGTTGGTACATGAAACTAGGAGAAAACATTGTAGGAGTTAATGGTGATAATGGAGAGATAAGAGGAGACATGTCATTATGTTGTTGTTGGAACGTCTGTTGTTGATATTGTAGATCATTTAAACGAAGCATTTCAGTGGGAAACTGCTGAGTTAATAAATTAGCCCCCTTTTGCTGTGTCGTGTAAATTGTTTGTTCATCAACGGATGGGGCGGGACGTGATGAAGAATCCGAGGAAATCCTTCTCCTGTTTCTCGAATTCGACCTTGACAATTGTTTATGTAACCATTTAACTTCATGAGCGATGTCTGCGTATTTCCTTATCACATAATTAGGCTCTTGTTTCCAAGCTTGAGCGGCCAAACATGAAACTTCGCTCATGGAAAGATTATGTCCTTGCGTACGGACTTCCTTGGCAAATTCATTACGATAAATTAAAAATTTGTTCGTACATCTGGCCAGCAACGAACCGCTTTTATTTGTTCGTATTAAATCAGCTGCATTTATTGCTGGGGGAAAAGGCACATGAACGGGTGCATGAAGTTGTGGTTCTGGCCTTCGAATCGCTCTAACTGGGGTCGGTTCTGTTCCATTTTCAAGAATGAATACGAGTTCCTGCTCGACTGGTTTATTATTATTGTTGTTGTTGTTGTCGGTTGTAATGGTCGAGGAGGAAATGGTTTCTTGTAATTGTGATGGAGATATTGTGTTTGTTGATGATATTGATTGTGACATTTTGGAAAATATGAAAAGGTTTATTTTTTTTAATTTTATTTTATTTTTTTTTTTAACGAAAAAAAAAATGTCAAAGGTAAAAAACCAAAAAAGAATAAGAGGGTTATTGACGCAGAGAATAATGATTAAAAAGATAATGGTTACAAATCATAACGCATGTAAGAATAAGGGGAGAAAGAATAATAATAAACCGTTGATGCAGAGAATAATGATTGA